GCTGGCAGTGCCAGGCGGCCGTCGGCGTGGGCGCGCGCGCATCCTCGGTCGGCTCGCTCTCGTCGTCCGTCTCGACGCCGGACACGTAGTCCTCCGACTCGGAGGCGTACCGGCTCAGCTCCATCTGGGAGCGCGCCATGCGGCGCGAGCGCGCGGCGCGCCCGGAGCGCGCGCTCGGCGCCGGCGACGGCTGGCGCAGGTCGCGGGACGAGACGAACGCGCCGCCGGGGGGTAGCCGGTCAGGCTGGCGTTGCTGGGGTAGCGAACCATAGCGGGTTCGGGCGGCTCAGCCGGGTACCAGACACCGGCCGGGCCGTGGCAGGTCGGACACCCCAGCTGTGCCATCGACTGCGCCTGCCAAGACCAGAGGTACGCTATACTCTACCGATATCGCTCGGACGCGTGAATCTCCCGTAGACCACTTATTACAACACGTTTAGATGCTTAACTGACATGCGTTGCCAGCGCAAATTTAACGCTGAACTTGAAATCTCTCTCTCCCATCGATTGATAATTTGTCGAAGAGCTTAATACAATCAAGCATAATTTACCACACGTTAGCATTGTTTCCAGTATCTCTGTTTCCAGATTTTGACGAATAATGATGACAGAAAAGCATGGACCGCGACTATTTTTGTTTCGTTTCTGTGCCTGGTTCGCCGTGTACGGTTTCATGTCGATCTTACTTTTTCGTAACATATATGTTCATCTTTCACTTCGATAGTCGACAGAACATTTGCGAAGTGGAGCGATGGGAAACAAATTTGATCGTCATATTTCAACCGCCATTACCCGCACTTAACGTGTTAAAGGTAAAGAGTGGATTCCGGCGGTGATTCTGCTCAAGAGCTCGATTCTTGCAGTACCTTTGTGTATCTACATCTATGAAGATAGAGGGTCCATTACGCCTCTCCCACTCCATGGGCGCCATGACATGCCCACGCTCAGCACTCCTGCCTTCACTCCACACTCCCCATCTACTCTACTCTCCTCCTCCACTCCACACTCCTCTATCCATTTCCCATACTTCTACCTCTACTTAACGCTCCTTTCTCCACTCATCCCTGCGCTCCGCACTCTTCTATCCACTCCTCGTACTCGTTCTACTTTCCACACTCATCCCTCCACTCCATACTCATTACTCAACTCCCTTACTCCTTCCTGCACTCCACACTCCTTCCTGCTCCCCCGTACACTCCTCCCCCCCATTCCATGCACTCCTCCCTTCACTCCACACTCGAGCGATGAGGACGCTCACATGCATCATGTGTGGCACGAAGCCGGGCGGCGGGTGGTGGTGCGCCACCGTCGGTGAGCCCATGTCGCAGACGGAGCCGGCGGCCATCATCTGCGGCCAGCCGCGGCAGCTCTGGCCGCGCCGCGTCGTCACGAACCCCTGCCGGAGGGACACCGACACCCGTCAGCCGGCAGCGCTGCCGGTGGCGGCAGCGGCGCTGGTGCGCAGCTGCGGTGGTGATTCGGAACAGGGGCGTCATTATCCAAACGATCACTGAGAAACTACAAAGACTGGAATTAAGCTATTTTCTAATGTCATCTGCAAGACCATAGGACTAGTTATGTGACACCTGAAATCTGAAATTTAATGAGGAAGTGCCCCCCCCCCCTCAAAACTGCACTTAGTGGGGGCACTGCTCTGAGATGTAGACACCATT